TTTCCACGTTCTCTCCAGCTCTGCTTTCTGCCAGCACTGGGGGCACCACAGAATGTCATGCCCCCTCCCCACAGCTGTCCTGACCCATGTCTGCAGGGCGTACGTGGCGTCCACATCACACAGCTGATTTGGGGGTGGCAGGTCTCTCTCGCAGCGCTCTGGGAATGGGGGCAAAGTAAACCCCATCCCTCCCTTTCAATCTTTGTCCCCAGGGAGAGCCAGTGCAGATGCGTCCTGCACTGGAGAGCGTCCTGCAGGGAGGTGGCAGCCGGTTGCAGAGCAACGCTGAGAGCCACCTGACAGCAAAGTTGCCCAGTGGCCTCAGAGCAGCCCAGGTGAGCTGGTTCTCTTGGTGGCCACCAAAGCAGCCTTCCTCCACCCCTGATTTTGGTGAGATACGGAGCTGTGCAGAGATGTTCCTCAGGCATCCAGGCCTGAGGAGGGTCTCCCAGTGCCCCCGTGAGAGATCCTGCTCCCAGGAAGTGCCTCCAGCCCCCTGGAGCTGACAACAGCTGCCCTAAGGGGTCTCACAGGGAGGACAGGGTCATCTGCCTGGTGGCCCTGACACAGAAATGGTGAGCTGAAGCCCCATGGCCATGGCTGGCTGGTTCAGAGTCTCTGAGTGCCTCAGCCTTGCTCCCTGGGAGTGTTTAACCCAGGCGCTTTTTCAGGGTGTGAAGGTGGATGCTGGTGATGTCCTGGTGGCTCTGTCTCCCTCCCACTTCAAAGCTGTAACGTCTGAGATCTGGAGCCACCTGAAGGCCCTGGCAGAGCTCTCGGGGAGTTTGTGTTCCCTTTTCTGATATCTTAGGGCTACAACGTGGTAGCGTTATGGTGTGACAGGATTAAGTGAGGTAGGATTAAAGCGTGTTATTGTGATAGACAGAATCTGGGTTTGTTGGCCATAGGTTCCTGGGGTTATGTTATTTTTACCTTCTCTTGTGTTTTTCTGCGTGGTGTTTTTTGTGGAGAGTCCTTTTTTATCTTGTTTGCCTTTTTAGGGTTTGGATAGGGGCCTTTGGTTTGCGTACGATGTTTCTTCTGGTGGATTGTGTTGTGTTTTCTGTCTTGAAACCGTCCTTTCTAGTCTAGTATGTCTACTGCAGGTCGGGCAGTGTCACTTCTGGTGTGTTCCAACTCATTTCTGGCGAGACGGGAGGTAGGTATGGAGGACTTGCACTCCCTGGAGAACAGCTGCCAGACAACTAACGGGCAGTTCTGGGGAGGGGTGAGAGGACTTCCGGCTCATAGGTAATGGCTGCCGGAGGACTATGTGTACATAGATTTTAGGTGGACTGCCACATTCATGGGCATTTCTCCTGCCTTGAGGTAGAGTCGTGGGAAGACAGCAGCCACAGGGAAGGACCAGGGTTTCCCCAAGGGTACGTGGCTTTTTGTTTTTTGTTTTTGAGTAAGAAACCTGCAAAGAGGCTGCTGTCAGTAAGTTTGGTGACATTTTGTAAAGTCCTGGACCAAATATTGTGTGACTTGAACCATTGCTGAAAAAATGGTGGAGGTTTGTCTGTGTGATCTGGATGCTTCGGGTTTGAACCTCTGCTCGTGGTGGTGACAGGCAAGTTCTTAGCTCCTATCTCAAGGCATGTTTTGTGCTTAAGGTGAGGTTCACTATCCATGACAGTGGATGTGAATTCGTATTTCAAATTGATTTCTTGATCTTTTGGATTTGGGGGGGTAACTTCTTTCTTCTCAGATCTGATTCAATCATCCTTCTGTTCACCTCTTCACGTGGCTGGTGAAGAGCTTGTAGGAGGAACAGAAGGGTTGGTGCTGCCGTTTCCACGTTGGTCACTTGTGCTGGAGTTATTAGGGTTGCCTTCCACCTGCCGTTTCTTTGCTGGAATCTCTGTAAGCCACATGCCTGTTTTGTGAGGGTTGGTTGGCTTGAGGGGAGACCTTTTGTTCCTCATTAGTGCCTCAGAGGTTAACCTGTTGGGTTTTTGCTTGCTTTTTATTTGCTGTGCTTGGTTTAAAGAGCTTACTGCAGGTCTTTGTATTTCTGTCCTTAAAGAATTCTGTAGGATTTCTACCCAGGAGTGAGGTGTGCATAAAGGACTGTCCTGGTACACTGCTGTCATCCTTCAGTGTAGAGAAATGTCTGGTAGTGGTGTGCGCTTAACGGCCATGTAACTCAAATGCATCTTAGGTGCCCTTTAGTGTAGACAAGAGAATGTGCGAAACACTTCAATGATGTGCATCTAGTGAGGATGAAAGTACCTGCTTTAACTTTTTTTGGTTGTTTTGCTTTCTTTGGCAATATCTGCTTGAAAGTCTACTTCAGCAGCAGCAGAAGAAATTACTTCCAATTTCTGTGTCTGACTAAAAGAATTAACCCAATCATACAGAGAACTGATCTGAAGAGCCATTTTTTGGCATTATTTGCTACCATGTCCGACTTGTTGTGCTTTCCCTGTGCATAGGGTAGTGGTCTGTGCATGGCAGTGGTCTGTGCTGCTGGGTCCACATCCCTGTTGGTTGCCAGATGCAAGGCAAAGGGTTTATCCTCATTAAAAATTACTTGTCTAATTTGAGAAACCGTCTACATAGACTTTAAAAGTGAAACTTTTCCTTATCTCTTTGTGCGCTAGTAGGGAAACAGGGGACGGGTTTCAGGGCAGTGCCTGTGAAAGAGCCTTTGGGAGATCCTGTCCCTTGACTCTCAGATGGGGCAGTGAAGAATTTGAGAAAGTCATAGGAGTTTTGGTGTTCACCAAAGCAGGTTTTTTTTTTGTCTGTAACTTATGTAGCTTATGTTTCTTATGTAGGAGAGCTGTGAGTCTGGGAGGAAAGACTGTGGGTAGGCGGGAATGTGCTTAGTTACTTACCAAAGGAAGGTAAAATAAATATCTAAGTAAGGGTCAGTGTAGCTATTCAGAGTTTTGGCTATTTGAATGTTGACGTGAACTTTTACTAAAATGGATTTGCTTGCACTTCTCTTCTAGTTCACTTGTGGGTACGGGAGAAAAGGCATCAGATGTATACACTAGCTAAAACACCTTTTTATTGCTGGCCATAAAGGTGCATCTTGGCTGGGATCCTGAGAAGGACCCGGTGTTACAATTCTTGATTATTTACATGCAATCTTAAGGCTACTCACATATGTGTTTTTACAGTCTAAAAGCCCTGTTGGCTTTGGCCATGAGGTCAGTTGTCGCCATTTACTTTTGAGTGTTTGCTCACATGAACCCCCTGTGCAAGCACGCAGAATACCTGCAGAATAGCAAGTGAATCTATCTGCAACTTTCCACGTTGTCTCAGAGTCTGCAGGGCCTGATGATAAACTCCACCCAGGAGGAAATCTACAGCATGATGGCTTATTAGAATAGGTTTTCTGTGAGGGCTTCTGGAGAATCTCCCTTCCACGTTCAGTGGATGTGGTCTGTCGTAAGGTTTTGGAAGAATCTGTGGAGCAATACCAATTGCCTTTAAGCACAGGAACAGATCTATGGGACGTTCCAGGCATAAGACTCCCTTTTTCACCTGTATGGTCCTAAGATCTGAATAGTCCTTTTTCATCCATGCTGTCTATTAATTTTAAGGCTCTGTTGGCATTTCCATTTCCCAGCCCCTGCAGAGTGAGTAGGCTTGTCAATAGGTTTGCTCTCCAAGCATACTCAGGGGTCTCCTTTCAGACTGGTGGCAAACCTGTCTTGGCGGAAGGGCGGTGTGCTTCCTTTCTTCAGAGAAAATTCCTAAGGTAGGTGCCTGTCCTTGGACCACTGAGAATTCAATGGGACAGATACCTGGGAGAGTTGATCTCTGGTAGAGGGTGGGCCGCTAGTGCACATCCGATGGTCAGGCTCTTTTGCCTCTGCTGCTGCAGTTTGGACTGTGGCTATGGCCAATTTATGGAATGAAGACATATAATCCATATTCCACCACAGACTTGTAAGCAAGGCTGCCATATTAAAACCTGGGCTTCCAGAGCACTATTAACAGGAAAAAGAGACGGGCACAAAGAGTAAAAATAACTGTCCCTTGGCTATAGAGGACAGCACTGAAATCCCGACTCCGGAAACCCAGAAGGCATTTGAAGATCTAAACCAAGCAGTCGTGGAAGCTCCCTCTTAGCCCTGCCAGACTACAACTAGCCTTTTATACTAGTTTTATATGAAGAGAAAGGAATAGCCAGTTAGCCCAGAAATGTCTGCAAGCCGTAGCGTATTAGTCATCAGAACTAGACCCCGTAATTCAAGGCCTGATTTCATGTGCCAGGGCTGTTGCAGCAGCAGCTGTGATGACTGAGAAAGCAAGAAATATTGTCCTGGGGCACCTCCTAATGCTAATGGTTCATTGTGTACTTTTTAGTCCTCCTCTCCAGCAAGTCAAGCAACTGTGGATGTGCCACAGCTGGGAAGCACGTTGTTTACGGCAATGAACAGAAATGGCCATTGGTTTCTTTGACTGAACTTCCCATACATGCAACAAGATACACTCAAACACCCTGAGATGTCCCTCGCTTCACTGGCCCCGCAGTGCGGGCAGCCGAGTGCCACACAGCAAAGCCCGCTGCCTCTCCCCCAGGCTGTCATGCCCTGGCTGGCTGCTGACAGGAGGGGACACCGGGTGGTGACAGCCTGCGGGGTGACAGGAGGGACACCAGGCAGTGACAGGCCCAGGTGGTGGCAGCAGGGACACCCACCGCCTGGGGCAGTGACAGACCCGGGGCTGACAAGCTCCCCCTCCCCTAGGGGGCACTCGGTGTTAGGCGGAGAGGGCGGGGCCCTGTGCCATGTGACGTGGGCCTTTTGTCATAGTGCGTTGCTCCTGAGAGGCATGGGCGCGTGGGTGCAGTGTGTCATGCAGTTGGTGTCCAGGAGACCGCTCGGTGGAAGGCTGAGGCAGGGGCACCTGCGTCGCCAGAGCAAGCAGTTGAGCCTGGGAGCGTGGTGTGCGAGAGAGGGAGCAGAGGCCAAGCCAGGGCCACAGCAGCCTCTCCCCGTCGTCCACCCGCCCACCTGGGCTGCGAGGAGGAGCGCACCATGTCGTGCATCCACTACAAGTTCTTCGCCAAGCTGAACTATGATACGGTCACCTTCAATGGCCTCCACATCTCCCTGTGCGACCTCAAGCACCAGATCATGGGCCGTGAGAAGCTGAAGGCGACCCGCTGTGACCTGCAGATCGCCAATGCCGAGACCAAAGAAGGTGCAGGGGGGCTGTGGGTGCGGAGTCTCGGGGACCACCTGGCTGACGGCAGCACAGAATGGGACAGGGTGAAGCGAGCAATCAGGATCCAAAGTCTGGTTTGTTTAAGGCAATCAGGTGGAAATGTGTCGTGGGAGCCTTCTTGGTCAGTTACCCTTTGACTTCAGGGCTGTCCTCTAGTCCGAATCTGGTAGTGTTTTTGCAGAGGTGTAAAAATTACAAGGGTGAAGCAGATCATCCTTACCCACATACACACCTTCCCCCCCAGCTCAAGGTGAACAGACAAAATCTCTGAGGGCACGTTGTTTTATTAAACATGTGTCAGATACCCAGCATCAGGGGAGTCGTGTTCCTCCTCCTGCTCAACCTTCTTCTTTTCCTGTTCTTCCTCCTGCTCTTAGTCCTGTGCCACCTGTTCCTCTTCTGACTGCCCCTTGTGTTCCTCCCCCACCACTTCTTTCTCCTCCTCTTGCTCCTTCTCTTCCTTCTTTTCTTTCTCACTCCTCATCCTCTTTCTATATTCGTCATCCTCTTCATCCCCTTCGTCTTCCTCCTGCCATCCACCAGTTCATCCTGCTTGTCTTCCTGCTTTCTCTCCTCCTGCTGTTTGTCCTCCTATTAATTCTCTGTGACAGGTTCATCACAACCTGGTTGGTTAGGTGCCTGGGACTCAGTGGTAGATAAAGGGATTCCCCATTATAAAAGGAGGTTTCCATATGCCCTTTTCTCGTGTCACTGTGAGAAAAGCGACAGGCTGGCAGTGGGGGTTTTGAAGGGTTTGTGTGTTGGAGACAGCAGGAGAAGGAGCTCATTCCACTGGGCATCTGGTGGGTACCTGGTACCTGCCCGTTGTCAAAGTGTTGTTATTTAAGTGGTCTTAGTTTTGGGTCTATAGAGCAGGTGGAAGACCCAGGCAACTCCATGAGGTTCACACCGTTCCCGTACAGTTTTATTTGTTGCGTTAAGGCAGAAAATGTCTTCCCCACAGGAGGGGAAGGTGCCATTTGTCATTTGCTCCACAAATTAGCCCTTGGAGGAGAAGAGGGAGAAGTGCTGCTTGATTTTATAGACGATGTTCTGTGTGCTGCTGTGCTTCCCTGTTCTGTGACGGGGTCATCACAACCTGGTTGGGTGGGTGCCTGGGGCCTTCAAGGCCTTCAAGGTGCCCAGGAACCTTGAGGCCAATAAGGAGGGGGAGAAGAAGGCTGCCTGGGCACGGGACCTTCAGGGTCTGATGAGGAGGGGAAAGGGGACTGATAGGTGACCAGCTCAGTCACAGAGCCTGGCCATTTGCCTCATAAAATGGCATTCATTATGCTAACCCTATTACCAGGGGTGCCAGTCAGAAGCACAATTGTTAATTGCCTTTCTTAAGGATTGGGACGGCAGCCATGCAGGGCCTAAATACCAGGTTAGGCTCGAGGCCACTGCTGTTATCCTGGTTCTTCCAGGTGGAACTTAGTGCCGTAACACTTTTTCCCATAGATACCAGTAGTTAGAAGCTACAGAGGCAGAAAAGATACTGGTTCTAACCTGTGTGGGTGGTATTAATGCACTTGGAATACACTTTTCAGCTCGGGTTGAGGGCAAATCCTCAAATGCCCTTTTTGCTGCTGTAGTGTGGACTGTGCCTATGGCTAGTTGATGGAATGAATATGTATAATCCATATTCCTGGCTGGCAGTGGTGCAGACCGCCCTGTGGCAGCCACAGCCTGCAGGAGCCATGCTCTGCTCTTTGTGGCTGTCCCCACGTAATGTGAGTCAGCCTGGGGCTCGTCCCGACGGCATGCGGGGGGACCAGGAAGGCAAGCGGCGCCAGGGACGAGGCGGGCTGGGAAGCGACAGTGCTATTTGGCCGTGATCGGTACCTGTGACTTGTGTTGGGGGCCTCACAGAGCTGTTCTTTTGTAGCTGCTGTTCTGATTTGTGTTTTAGGCATGAGGCGAGGCGTAGAGGAATCCGGGCTTGATGTGTGACATACAGTGCTTACAGAAGTTTTGGTTTCCTGGAATTCCTCTAGGTAAAATAACAAGGAAACGTGGGAGGATGTCTCATGACAACAGACTTGACAGATTTCTTAGAAATCTGGCAGAGAAAGCTGAAAGTGATAGAAATAGAGCAGGTGGCTAGTTTGAGGAAAAAAGTGGGTTTGGTGACGTGATTTGGTCTTCAACTTGTTTTACTCCACCACTGTTTTTGTGGCTGTTGCAGAAGGTGCTCACTAGCAATATTTGGATCAAGAGTGTATCTGTGAGTTGTAAGCTATGCAGACCCTTTAAAGCCATCTTGCACATGAGTGTTCTCTGTATCTAAATTAGACTTTGGAATTTCTTCTTGGTGTAACTTCTTTTCTACACTAAAGACATTGTCATTCAGATGCTATTGAGCATCATTTCATCATTCACTTCTAACCATGTTTTTTTTTTCCCGGTACTATGTGTTAACCATATCAGGGCAGTACTGAAGGTTTCTGGCAGAACATTTATTGTGAATATACATCAGAAATGTTCTTAGAGAAGTCATAAATGCTTTTAAATCTAATAAATGGTGATTGACTCTCAGGGATTATAATGGTTTTGAATTACTTAGTATATTTCAGTTTGGTAATCTGCTATCTGGATAAGTTTGAATATGATTGAAGACTTTGGGATGTGACTTTTCAGAAATAAGAAGACTTGTAGAGTGTTTTCATTCCTTAAACATTAAACTTCTCCCCCTCCCCGTGGTTTTGTGACACTCTGATGACAGTTTTTTCTTTAAAATGTGTATTAGTGGGGTTTTTTCTCTTCCTGTTTCATGTAGTAAAACTTAGCCAGCATAATATGTATGCTGAGGTAACTGTAACTTCAGCGCTAACGTTTAAAGTGGTTGGACCTAAAGCTTGCTGTTTATCTGCAGGTATTTAAACTATTTTCAGGAGAGTGTCTGTGAAGAGACTTAACAGCACAATGTTGGGGCTCTTAGGGATGCCGCTGGATTGCATGGCATATGTAGGTAGAGATACATGCCAGAAGTCTAGAATTTTTCTAGTAGTATTGAATAGAACTGTCAAGAGCTTTTGAAAAATTAATTTGCTTTAAGGGCTTTGCTGCAGAAGGGTCAGTTTTATTAGTCAGATGTAGATGTTTAAACTCGTCTTCAGAAGATAAAGGAAAAAACTAGACCGGGATATTCCACCTAAACGGCGTGTTTGGAGTTCTTACATGTGGTCATAAAGTATTGGGGGTTTATAAGTTTGTCTGTGCAGGAGTCCTGACTAAATGTTGAAATGATCTTGGCAAGAACAAAGAGAACTTTGAGGGAAGGTGGCCTACTTGTTCAGCTTTTTCCGAGTAC